GGAAGCCCAGGTCCCATTATCTGTCAATAAAGTGTCTCCTTGGGAATTCGTGTGAAGAATATGGTCTGTTTTGAGCCTGAGCAAACTGAGCCTGTGTGGACAGATTCTTGATCCCCCTCAAAAAGAATTTAACAAGCACACATCAAGTCAGGCTGTGACAGAAGAAGGTTGAATTTAGCCAGTCACTAGGCCTGGCGGGGCACATTTGTCAGCTCGTCAGCTGCTCCAGCTTCCGACTTCTCTGTCCCCTTGTGAAACATATAGACCCTATTTTTAGCATGGGGCTGTCTGATGTGCTGTTTTGCAAGACTTTAGTAGCAGCTGCAATAGATATCCTGACCCATTTCTAATAGGAATGAGGTTTGTTTACCAAATAAAAGGAGATGTTCAGGTAGATACTTTCCTCCAGTCTCACCAAACAGAAAGCTGGGTTTCTTTATTTCCATGGAGTCCTGGGCATGTGTTCCCCTAGCATATGTGCACATGTGCCATTGTGCACACACATGTGCATCTGTGTGTCTGCCTTTTGATTCCTTTCTTCTAGTTAGATACAGCCAGAGAAGGAAGAGGAGGATCACTGAGTGCAGGGAACATCAGCTGACCCAGGTTGCAGCTGGCGCCCAGATCTCACGGACTCCTGTTCAGATCAGTTCAGATAATGTACATTAGAGGGGAAGGAAACAAGAATTTTCTTCATGCCTTTCCTAACTACTTGGTAGGAACAGACGCCTGTAGCAGAAGACAGAACAATGCACAGCAGAGTGTAATAACTGTGACCCTCAGGTGTTCATGAGGCGAACTGAGAACAGCCCTCAGAGGAGACTTAGACTAAGGGCTTCTGCAGGCTATGGGATACCCAGAGGCTGCTCAGGAAAGGCATGGCCAGCAAGAGAGGTTTGTGTGGCTGGTTCTCCAGGGATTCCCTGTCAGGCCCTTCCTGGATAGAGAGGAAACCCTTCCATGGGAGAGTTCCCATAGAGATGGCAGCTTCCCACACAAAGGGCAACTCCTCTGCTCACAGAGCTTCTCCCGCTGCCAAGTTTCTCAAAATAATCAATGCAAAATAACATATCAGAAGCAGACTTGGGCATGGCATAGTCTGGTCCCCTACAATGTGAAAGTACCAAGTGTGAATGTCTTTTCCTTAGGGGCAGGGAAAGTATTCAGCACGCGCGCACGCACAGGAGACACAAGTGCGCCTACAAGTCAGCTGCAGCACTCACTTCCCTACTGTGTTTTGCTCTGACCCTACTGTCTGGAAAAGTTCTCATTCATACATATCAGTATTGCAAAGGCAGATGTGGTTAAACTCCTCTTGAGCTAGATGTGGTATTGCCCTCCTGTAATCCCAGTGACTCAAAAGCTCAGGGAAGATCACAAGTTCAGTGCTAGCCTGGGCAACTCAGTAAGATCTTGACTCAAAATAAAGTAAAAAGGGGGACTGGACAGATGGCTCGCTAGTTAAGAGCACTGTCTACTCTTGTAGAGGACCTGAGTTTGGTTCCCAGCACCCATATGGTGGCTAACAACCATCCATAATTCGAGTTCCAGGGGATCATGCCTCGTTCATTTACATTCATGCATCCAAAACACTCATACATAAAATAAAAATAAGTATTTTAAGTAAAAAAAAGGCTGGGGATAGAGCTCAGTGATAGAGTGCATGAGTTTAATCCCCCCCACCCCACCCCACAAGCTCCTTTAACAATGGTAAGAACTCTTTTAACTTGATAGACAAGAGGAATATTATGGAGACTACCCTTTCACATATTACACTCTCCATTCATGTTAGTGAGCTAGGTGGCCCCAGGGCATTAAAATTTAGTAATAATGGATATGGTGAAAAGTTTTGTTTTTATTAGGTTTTGTATTTATTGTTTTTAAATAGTTAAGGTATATTTAGGCAATGAAATTAGAATTAAACAATTGAAACTTTGGACTTTCCACATGAATCTGATCCGGTTTGACCACTTAACTACACAAAAGAGTCCTGGTCAAACATAATATACTAGAACCACGTTTCTTCTCTTGATCTTAAACTCTTACATTCTGGAGCTGAGGAATCCCCTGCATTCTGGGAGCTCTGTGTATAGCCTTCTATACTTTCTGCTAGGGACTCTTAACTCTGACCTTGATGTCAGCTCCAAGTTCTCACAGGGATGGAGGCTGGCTTTGCCACCTCCTTGGAGAGCTGCAAGGCACCTGTCCCACTTCATGGAGCAGCATTTACCACAGAAGCTGAAGAAGATGATGCTGTTAGGATTTGCTGTGCTTTGTAGAAAAGCACAGTTATTTTCGATTTTGGAACATCATGACAGCCAGCAAATACTAGCCCTCAAATGCCCATGGTCGGGTCTGATAAGGCTGATATCAGCTTCTAATCCACCTCCTCTGATCCTCTGACTTGCCCCTTAAAAGCCAAGAGACTTGAGGTCAGTCAGAACAGAGTCCCTTAAACATACTTTTCTAGAGAGATGTGTGGACCTTCTTCCTGAAAGGAAACACATGTACGTCATCCAGGTAGGAATAAGTCATAGTGAGCACAGGCCTCTATACTGCCCCTCCAACTCCTCAGGCTGCTGGGAAATCCTTGCAAAGGGCTGTCCGTAAGGAAGTTGCTGAAGGAGTGCCTGACATGTTAGGTTCCCATTCCTGCCTACAGCTGAGCACTAAAAACACAGAACTGACTTGCCTTTCTGTAAAGATAATGGGCTGTGTTTTTCTCTCCTTCACATGCAAGGCCTGCAAGACTAGTTATCCCTGCTCCTCCCCATGGTTCCTGCCTTATCCCTAAATTTCTGAACAAGACCCTTAGGCTGGGAGTGGAATTCAAATGTTAACAGGATTTAGGCCCAGCTGAGGATTTAGAGCTGAGGAATCCCCTGCATTCTGGGGGCTCTGTGTGTAGCCTTCTATACCTTCTGCTAGGGACTCTTAACTCTGACTTGTTCTCTCTCCCTCTCCCCCCACCTCCCCCCCACTCCCCACCCCCCTTATTGTCATACCCAGTGGAAAGCTAGAGTAGTTGTGAGCAGAGGTCAAAGCTTAGGAGCTTACCCTGATTGCATGGTATTATAGAGGCCCCAGGAGGAACAAGCATATGGAAACCAGCCTTCCTGAGCATAGGCTCCCATGATTCTCATTGCCATAACCCTGGCTGGCTCTGCTGAGGTGCTGAAGAGACAGAGCCAGGTCCCATCCTTTCCAAAAGATTTGGAGTCCTCCTCAGACTGCTGTTGCAGTACTATATTTTACTATGTATTCTTTGATGTTTTGCTTCTTTGAGTTGATTAAGGCTGGCCTGTTGAGTTGTGTTTAGCTCTGTGGCATGTATTTTCATAGATATGTATGTTTCCCATTACATGACAGCCCTGTTTCTTGGTGTGTTCTACCACTGATTGCCATGTGAGTTGTGTCTTGCTTGGTGCTGTGTAAAGAGTTCTACCATACAAGGATGCAGTCACCTGACTGAGACCTACCATAGTTGCTTGGCCTATTTTCCCCTCACTGTCAAAGGCCTCACTCCCACCAGTGAAGAATGAGTTTCCCTTGTTCCCTATCCATTTCTTAGGTGTATCAGTTGCTAATGAAGATGGGCACTTTCCCTAAGTTAACTGGCATTGACTTAGTCTTTCATGAAGGGCTTATTCCTGTGTTTCCCCACTTGTAGTCAGAATTCTACCTGTCTTACTAGCATGTAGAAACCCAGTTGTCTTCTGGAAGCTGGAATTTGTAGGTTTGAGACTATATTTAATAACAAAGTTTTCCAAGTAGGCATAGGAATGGAGCTACAACATCATGCTGACCATTCCTCCTGCTGACATCAAGTCCCTCCCTCCGAGGAGCATCTGTCCTGTGTTACTCAGGCCCATGTTGCCCCCTTTCTCACTGAAGAGCCATCATCTTAGCCTGGGATTGTCATTGACAGCTGCTGTTGTCCTTTCCTGGTGGCAATTCCTGTGACATAGCGGAAGCCAGGATGTAGATGAGAGGAGACGCAGCCCCTGATGTGCAAGTTCTTTTTGTTCATGCCATTGGTGGTGTCCCCTTGCCATCCTCCCCACAGCATCACCACTGTATGGCAACCTGCTGCTCCTGGACCCTTGCTGACATCTACCTGATACCCTATACCCTCTGTAACTGTTCCCACACCCCTGTTTTTTCCTCTTTAAATCTGACTTGTTAAGGAGGTTCTGTGCTCTAGCAAGTGAGGAATAATGGGATACTCTCTTGACTGTCTCAATAATTAAATTTTTGATTTAAGATTTTTTTTTGTGTGTGTGTGTATGTGTGTGTACCATGTGAGTACAGAGATCAGAAGAGGGGATTGAACCCTCTAGAGCTGGAGTTACAGGCAGTTGTGTGCTGGAAGCCAAGCTGAGGTCCTCTAGAAAAGCAATAAGTGCTCTCAGCTGCTGGGCCATTTCCCTATCCCCTTGGTAATTATTTTTGTTTAATGGAGCTTAAGGATAAGAGTCCAGACTGGACTATAATATATCTGTTTGTGATACATTGTGCTCTAATTCTTTCTTATTGAAAAACCTAAAGCCAAAATTTGGTGAATCTGCATCTGGGCAAGGCAGAGTGGGGTAGACCAAGGTGTCTCTGCCCTCACAGTTCTAGGTGGCGCAGCTTGATAGGCTGAGGACCTTCCCAAAGACAGCTCGTTCCCATGGCTGGCTGGCTGTGGAGAGCTTGGCTGAGACTGCCAAGCACATGCAGCTTCAGTTCTTGTCTCTGTGCAGGTTCCTCACAGGATGGCAGCTGTGTTCCAAGAACACATGTTCCAAGACAGCACACACTGCCCATTTCTAGAGACGTAGGGCCAGCCACCAGCACAGTGCTGCTGTGTTCTGTTAAACACAGCTGTCACAGAGCCTCCCTCCTGCAGATTAAAAAGGAGAAGATACACACACACAGGAGGGAGTAAGTCAAAGCACCTGAGGCCCCTTGCTCCACACTTACTTACAGTCTCCTGTACCCCTGTATCCTTCATGTAGCCCTGACTGCTGCTGCAGGGAGAGGAAAGCTGGAGGTCTGCGAGCTGCTGCTGGAACATGGAGCTGCTGTGTCCCGGACCAACAGAAGAGGGGTGCCCCCTCTGTTTTGTGCAGCCCGCCAGGGGCATTGGCAGGTACTCAGTGGGCCCCTGGATGCTTCAGAAACAGTGGGTGGGAATGGAACCCACTATTGAGACCACATGTGGCTTCTGAGCCCTGTCCCAGTCTTGGCCTTTGTCTGCCATCACGACTGCTTCTCAGAAGCAAATGTGTAACAGACAGGCCAGAGACACACAGCTGCTTCCTTCAGCTTCAGCCAGGATGCATGATAGTAACAGAAGGTTCACTCCAGCATTCTGCTGCTGTTTTGTAACTTCTTGGTACAACATATCTGAAAAAGAGCTATCCTGGGTTGCCTTTTGGAAGAGAAACCATCCTCCTGCCATCTTTAATTCAAGGGATTGAGGGATCTTTGCATTGCAGTTCCTTCCTTCATTTTATAATAGAGACCACATATCTATCCATCCACACCCAGTGCCATAGTATACCTACACTGCACACACAAATGACTACAAGACAATTCGTTACAGAAGAGTTAATGCCCTGCCACTAACCCTCTCCCGGTCTCAGTGTTCCCCAAGCCACAGGGAAGGTGAGAGCAATTTGTTGGTACACAAAGCAAAAGCAACAGGAATATGCCACCTTTGCTACTCTTGTCCCTAAAGACACTTGCCTGAGTTTCTGACTTTTCTCCCGAACCTTACCAGCATGCATGGTGTAAAGACATACTGCTGAGGTTGAGACTATCCTTCAAGAAGTTTTGCTAAAAGTTGCTCTCTGAAGAGGGCAAGCCATCCCTCAACTCTGCATCTTAGCAAAGCATATTAACTGAGGGTGCAGTGCTGCTCTCCTGCCCCAGACCCTTCTATTGTAAGTACAGTCCCCTCTCAGTATTGGCCACAGGTGCCCAAGTCTCAGGATGCTCATATCCCTTAAATAAAAGGGCACGTTATTTGCGTGCACTCTACACACATCTTCCCCTACACTTTAAATCACCCCTAGATCACTGTAGCACCTAAAACAGCATAAATGCTCTATAGTTGCTATGCTGTTTAGCAACTAATAAATAGTCTGGACATGCTTAGTCTTCATGTATTTCAGTGGTTGGTTGAATCTGCTGCTGCAGAACCCCCACATTCATGGGGAGCTGTGCTTCGCTTCTGGACCAGCTTGGAACCCTAATGGCTACCAGTGGCCCTTCCCTGCTATGTTGTCCTTAGTTATCCTACTTCCCCCAGTATGGCTGTCCTAATGTGTCCTGAGTGTAACTGGTATGCCCCCACTATTTCTACCATGTATGTGTGGTTTTCATAGACATAATAACTGGGCACATTTAAAAGAATACATATTCAGAAAAAGATAAGGAATACAGTGGGAAGAGTGTTCAGACCCCACATATCACACAACTGTTTTTTTCAGAGAAGAGTGTCATTTGTTGTCTTTAAAAGATTGAAAACCTGCTGGTTATAGAGAGTGTGGCTTCAAGTGCAGCAGGGGTGTGGTGGTGCTGCATTGAGCCTGATCTAGTCTCAGGTCTGTACTGATTTTACTCAGAACTGTTGCTTCTAAACAAAGGACCTCCTCTGTATGCATTTAAGCAGCAACACCCAGCACAGTATGGGAAAGGAATGAAGCACTTTGTCTTAAAGAATCTTTAACCAGAGTTTTATAAGGGAAAAGTTGCTTTTTCTGACCCCTACTGACCCAAAGCAGCATATAAAACCACAAACAGATGTTAACAACCTGTGTCCCTCTGTTGCTTGTAGATGTTTCTTCTTTCAGCATCACTACTTTCAGTGATGATATTATCACACACACACACCCCCACACACACACACGCTATTCTGGGTCAAAGGTGTGGGAGGGTCATGAGGGAGAAATAGGTAACATAGTTTAAGATTAAAACTATATGTTTGGCTTAGCTTCTAAAAATTACATGAGGGACCCAAGGCCTAGCAAGATTTGTTTACATAATTTCTTAAAGGCTAGTTAAATTTAAACAAGCTGAGTTTAAATAGGAAAGCAGATTGAATACATAATGTTAAGTGATCTCAGAGCATAAGGTTAACTTGGTTACAGAGTTAGGTAAAACAGGAGGCATTCCTAAAGTCATTCCCACACAGGGAGACTAATTCGCAGTGCTTTCAGATTGTTAGACTGCTGTTGGAGCGTGGCTGTGATGTGAACCTGAGTGACAAGCAGGGTCGGACGCCCCTCATGGTGGCTGCCTGTGAAGGACACCTGAGCACTGTGGAATTCCTCCTTTCAAAAGGTAAAGCCTGTCATGGCACACTGGTTCCTTATGCAGAAGAACTTTGGCAGACCCACTAGTTCTGTCTGCTTCCCAGTTTGTCTCTTTGTTACGGAAATTGAGTTACAATCGTGAAGGAAATTTTCCAAAACACAATACAGCCCAAGTACCCATTTTTCAGCTTTGGTGAAGACCCTCTGGCCATCAGCTTCAATCTTCACTAAGCTTTGCAGACCTACTCAGGCTGATGCACACAGTCAGACACTCAAGATTGTGGGACCCTCAGCAGCCCAGCTCTGTTCATGCTCTGTGGATGAACTTTTCTTTCAGGTGCTGCCCTTTCTTCTCTGGACAAAGAGGGTCTCTCAGCATTGAGTTGGGCTTGTCTGAAGGGTCACAGGGCAGTGGTCCAGTATCTGGTTGAAGAAGGAGCTGAGATAGACCAGACAGACAAAAATGGCCGTACTCCCTTGGACCTGGCTGCCTTCTATGGCGATGCAGAGACTGTGAGTATTAACAGAAAGTGTTTGCTCCCTGTGCCTGCACCTGCTGCTGAAGCTGACATGAAGTCTATGCCAAGACTGTTAGTCAAGACTTTAGTGCACTTTTAAAAGCTTAAAAGTATTATCCCTACCAGTTCCCTATGCCCCGGGTGAACGTGTATGGCCCCAGGCATACTTTTATTTTATCATGGTATTCCGTGTAAATAAAATTCCTGCATAGATCATTCAGAAACCACTTTCACTCATAAAAAATTACTGATTAGATAGCTAGTTTTATATTTTAGCATTTTAATAATTTTAAAAATATTTTAATAATTATTTTAAATTATCTTTTTAAAATAGCCACTAATGGCCTAGATCGTATGTGATGTTTCAGTTCACATATACATTGCAGAATAATCAAATCACACCAACGTTCTTATCTCTCACTTCCAGTATTTGCCAGTCTTTGGCCTAGAACATTTTAAATCCTGTCTTAGCTGTTGAGAAACGTACAGTGTGTTGTTAACAATAGTCACCATTCTGTGCAGTAGATCCCCAGACCTTCTGACCAACACACCCCATGCACCTCCAGTAACCACTGTTCTCTCTGACTTTTTTGAGTTCTGTGTACACGTGAGATCATGTACTGTTTGTCTTTCTGTATGCAGTATATTTACTATGTCCCACAGGTTTATCCATGTTATCTTAAATGTCAGGATTTTTCCTACTTCTTAAAGGCTGAATAGTAATTCCATTGTTTATTTTTTTGGTTGGTTGGTTTGAAAGCCATGTGGCATTGTCTAAAAATAGATTTTGCGGGCTGTTTCTGTCTGTTTACTAAGTGCCTAGTGGGAATATAACAGCATTGTCTTTATAACTGAGAACTGGGATATGTCTTCCAGGGCAGAAACCATGCCTTGGTCAGGCTGCACATCCCAGACCTCCACAGGTGCCAGAGGAGTATTGAGATATTTGAGACTGTGCTTATGTAGTTCTGTGTGGCTGATGAAAGGACAGTTGGAGAGATAAGGGCTGTACTGTGGAAAGGCAGTGATAGGGGGCTGGGGGTGTGGCCTAATTTTACTTACTGATTCATCCATTGGTGTGCACATCATTGGAAAAATATCTCGTAAAGACCCCAGTTTCAAACTTTTTTGGCTATATACTAAGAAGTGGAATTGCCAGCGCATATAGTAATCCCTTTTGTTTTTGTTTTGTTTTTAAACAAGGTCTCGTGCTCAGGCTGGCCTCAAACTCCCTATTGTAATCAAGGTTGGCCTTACACTCCTAATCCTCCTACTCACCTCCCAAGTGCTGGGGCTGTAGATGTGATTCGAGCCACTACACTGGGCAGTAATTCTGTTTTTAAATTTTCATGGACAGCACCTCCACACAACAGATGGGAATTGCATTACTTTTTTTCCCCGTTTTTTTCCCTCACATTTCTAAAATAATTGGAATCCTATGAATGTGAGTTAATATCTCATTGTGGTTTTGATTTTCATTTCCCTAACATTTATTAAAATTAAACGTATTTTCAACATGCTGCTTGTGTGTCCTCTTTGAAGAAAAGGCATTTAAAGTCCTTTACACACTTGTTGGTGTGGTTTTATTACTGTTCAGTGGTAGTTTTTTGGTTTTTATTTATTAGTTTTTGAGACTGGAGGTCTCTATGTAGTCCTGGTTGGCCTTGAACTCACTATGTAGACCAAGTTGACCTTGATCTCATGGAGAACCATCTGCCTCTGCCTCTTGAGTGCTGGGATTAAGGATGTGTGCCACTACATCTGGCCTGGTAGTTCTGTTTATATTCTCGATAGTGAGCTCTCTGATGTGATTTAGAATAGCTGGTGGACTGACAGGAAACACGTTCTGTTGGATACACATGAATACAAGCTGGGTGTAGGATTGTTTTTCAGTAAGTGGAAAATTTTGAGTGGCCAAAGTGATTTTTTTCCTTGCTGTTTCCCATGTGCACATATATCTGCTTTATCACATCGTCTTTGTACTATGGCCTCAAACATGCCATCTTCACATGTGCTAATATTCATCAAGTCTATTTTCTTAAACCTTAAAGTGAATTATCCTAGGTCCATCTGGTCCCAGGTTGCTAATCTTTGCAATTTGTACCAGGATGTGTGGATCTTGTGTCTGCAGCGTGCTGGAGCTCATCCAGAAGCCTCCCTGCTAATTAGCTGAGGTGAAAAAGTGACCATGAGCCCTGTGGCCTGGGAAATGGGATCAGGAACATACTTTGCATGTGGGCCCACACCTGTCTGTACCTGAGGGCTGTCTTCCTCTTCACTGACAGCTGAGTCACCTCAGCAGAGCGCTTTTAGCAATGGGCTGTAGCTCCTTCCTCAATGTCATGGCAATTTCATTTCCATTAGGATCCCTAATGACCAGAGGCATTGAAATGGGAGTAAAGCTAAAATCACCAGCACCACACATTAGAAGGTGGAATCAGGCAGTGGCTACGCTCCCTATGGGCTGCTCAGACTTGTGCTCTCCCTGCTGCTGCAGGTGCTGTATCTGGTGGAAAAGGGAGCAGTGATCGAGCATGTGGACCACAGTGGAATGCGGCCACTGGACAGAGCCATCGGTTGCCGAAACACCTCTGTAGTGGTCACTCTGCTCAGAAAAGGAGCCAAACTAGGTCAGTGATGCCCACTTCCGTTCAGCAGGGCCAGAGGGTTGACTTCCACCTTTAGAGTACCTGAGGGGACACAAAAATCATGTGCTGCAGGGCAAGAATGATGTCAGGTACCTAAAGAATGTGCTTTCTCACCCCTCCCCCCCCATCTCTGCCTCCCATGTCACTCAGTCACAGATAATGAGAAAACTGAAAGAGCTTATGAATTTCTTTAAAAAAAAAATACTTAGGCTGGGCGTGGTGGCGCACGCCTTTAATCCCAGCACTTGGGAGGCAGAGGCAGCTCTGTGAGTTCAAGGCCAGCCTGGTCTACATAGTGAGTTCCAGGTCAGCTGGGGCTACCGGGAGACCCTGTCTCAAAAAGACAAAAACAAAAAAAGCAAACTTTGTGTGTGTGTGTGTGTGCACAATCCCACATGCAGAGGTTAGAGAATAGCTTATGGGAGTCAGTTCTCTCCCTCCATCACATGGGTATAAGATCAAACTAAGGTTGCCAGGGTTGAAGGCAAGTGCCTTTACCTGCTAAGCCATCTCACTGGCCTTAACTTATGATTTTCTTGCCAGGTTGCCAGAGGCTAATGTGGAGGAACAGTCTGGAATTATGTGTAGCCCAGACACTCAATTACAAATGGGCTGAGCTTCAGTAGCTCAGAAAGGCCCCAGATGGTGCTGTGGAGCCACAAGGCTGAGGTTCCCCTCTTCTGGAGTCATCAGGAGCAGCTTGCTGGGGAAGTTGGGACCCTGGTGCACACGGTTTCTATAAAGGAGACATTGAGGTGGTCCTTGGAGGCAGGCTGGAATTAACTGAGGGTCATGTAGAAGGCCACCTGTGTGGCTGGTGGAAGCATCATAAATTCAGTCTATACATAGGAAACAATAGCCACAGTGCCCTGCTTTAGTTTGATATCTAGGCCCTTTGACCAAGAGCAGTTCTAGGCAGGGAGCTATGGGGCAAACAGTTTTTGCCAGTATTAAGGAGTTTGCCATTTTGCCCTGGTCCTTTCCACAGTCCTGTACATAGGTAGTGGTAATGCCATGATGCCATCATTTTACATGAGAAAACCAAGGTACAGGTTAGGTAGGTCTCCTCTCAAGGCCACAATAAGTGCCAAAGTGGCAAATGTGTACTAGCAGTGCCCTCCAGAACCTCTCAGCATGCCTCTCTGCAGTGTCCCAAGTGCTAGGTGAGAGGCTCAAGTGAAGGCTGTGGCTGTGATGTAGTCCAGGAGAGGAGCTGGGCAGGCACAGGGCAGAGGACTGAGCTAGGACTTCAAAGAGGACTAAGGTCAGCATGCACAGGGCCTAGAGAACAGTAACACTCTCTGCCCCTGCCATGCTGGGTGCTGCAGGGAGCTAGAAAGATGCCGCTGAGGACTGGGTTAATTTCTTTCCCTCTAATCCTTATTGGGAGGGGTGAGGCCCCTTAGCTTCTCCTGTCAGTAGAGTAATAAGGACAGACTTTGCAGACATAATTCCTTGCTGGAGGCTGGTCTGGTATGAAATAGGTGAGAGCTTAAACCAGCTTGCCAGCACCTTGCTGCCTTTCCTTTGGCCAGGGTGATGCCAGAAGCACCAAAACACACCACAGCAGCATCCTGGCAGTGAGTTCCCAAAGTCTGTGTTGTGCATCTGTGGGAGATGCAGAACAGAACTGGTCCCTCTAGACCTCGGAAGTACCTCTGACAGCATGTTTATTTTGCAGGAAATGCTGCTTGGGCGATGGCCACATCCAAACCTGATATCTTGATTATACTTTTACAGAAATTGATGGAGGAAGGAAATGTGATGTACAAAGTAAGTGATTTTGCCCCTTTCTGTGCTATTGTTACTGACTCTAAGCAGCACCCTTTTAGTTCCACACAGAATCTTAATGGGAAAGCACTTCTGTGTCTAAAAATGATTCTTTATGAACTAATGCTTCAGGCAGTGGCTATGACTTCCTGTCTGAATGCACTGTATGAGAACAGTCACCCCTAGGTCCCTCCATAGGTGGTTGTATCCAATAGGCAGTCAGTCTCTCAGCTTTCCCACCCTTCAAAGTTCAGAGTATGGTTCTAGACAGTCATGAGCTACATGCAGAAGGGTACTGAGGCATTTGTAGAAAAAAAGAACCTTAAAAAGGGTGACAGGACTAGAGAGATACTCAGCTAAGAGCACTGGCTGTTCTTACAGAGGACCCAGGTTCAGTTCCCAGTATCCATGTAGCAGCTAACAACTGTTTATAACTACAGTTCCAGGGGATCCAATGCCCTCTTCTGGCCCCTGTGGGTACTGCACACACAACTGCACTTGCATATATACAGGCACAAAAAATACACATAAAATTAAATAAATGAAAAAAAAAAAAAAAAGCCAGGCATGGTGTGTGCCTTTAATCCCAGCACTCTGGAGGCAGGGCAGGCAGATCTCTGTGAGTTCAAAGCCAGCCTGGTCTACACAGCAAGTTCCAGGCCAGCTGGGGTTACACAGAGACCCTGTCTCAAAAAGACCAAAAAAAAATTTTAAGGGGGGTGTGTGTGTGGGATGGACACAGAGATGGCTCAGGAGGTAAGGACACTTTCTGTCAAACCTGACAACCTGAGTTTGAGCCCCAGGACCCATGGTATGAGAGAAATGATTTTTGCAAGTTGTTCTCTGACCTCCACACGTGTGCTATGGCATGCATGCTCACACATATACATATATAAATGTAATTAAAAAGAAAAGAACCATCTAGTCTCCCAAGCTTTTTACTAGTCAGTCACCTAATTCTATAAACTTTGGGATTTCAAAAGCATTTTTAGAGCTATTTTTATTTAATGAAGTAATATATTCTCAGCTATTCAGGGCAGTTAATTTTCCCATTTTCCATAAAAATGGAAATATGATAAGATTAATAAACAACTTCATTGAGTAATTGATTTAGATTCACAAAAGGCTAGATAGTACAAGCTTTAGGTTCTGTGGGCTGCATGAACTACCCAGCCCTGCTGCAGTGGCCCAAAGGTAGCCACAGGTAAAGGAGTGTGGCTGCATCCCAGTACATCTGTAAATACAGGCCCATGAGCTGTGGTTGGCCACCCCCAGGGTTAGGTAGATGTATGTGTAGGCCATTGACATTGATCACTATTCTTTCCAAACCCATAATTAGATAGAATTAAGACTATTGGGGGGGGGGGTGACTACTTCAATTGTTTTTTACTACAAGGCAGCTTTGTTTGGTATGCTGTAAGTTTTTTTCCTTTGTGCTCTTTCATAGTAACAAATAACTAGGCATATAGCATGACCCAGCAGGGTTCCCAGCTTGGTATCAGTTTGAAATTGAGTTCAGGGTATACATTGTTGAGGCTTTGAAGTGGTTTTAATATGGATTTTGCTAGGCAATTATGTCAGAAATACGAAGCATTTTCAGCAGGCTGCAGTACCTGCTGTGCAGTGGGGCTGACTGACTGAGCAAATGGATTTCTTTAGCCTTGAGAGTGATGTGCTGCTGCCCTGATTTGGAAAGCCCAGTCCTCAGTGCTGCTTAAAAGAACCACTATTCTGCAGCCAGTTGCAGGTTCATCCACAAGGCTCTTTCTGCCTTAGAAACTGCGTTGTTTTTTCATCTGGTTTCTATCATATTTGCCATTAAAATATCTTCAGCCAGGCGTGGTGGTGCATGCCTTTAATCCCAGCACTCGGAGGCAGAGGCAGGTGGGTCTCTGTGAGTTCAAGGCCAGCCTGGTCTACATAGTGGTTCCAGGACAGCTGGGGCTACAGGGAGACCCTGTCTTAAAAAGACCAAAAAAAAAAAAAAAAACCACTCAAAGAGAACTGGTTTTGAGTTCAAAGCCAGCCTGGTCTACCTAGTGAGTTCCAGGCCAGCTGGAGCAACAGGGAGACCTGTTTTAAAAAAACCAAAAAAAAAAAAAAAAACTCTTCAATGAGACATGGTTCTTGAAGTCACTTTTAAAATATATGTGAGAAGATATTTGATGTATAAAGATGGGGAGTTACCGATTCTGCAGTTTACAAACACCTTCTTGTTCAGCTGTCCATTTCCTTGCTGTGTGGAGATGGTACAGCCCCAGCACAGTCTGACTGGTCAGTGTCCTGCTTCCAGTTAGAGCCCTTGCTTGTCTGCATCCTTTTCATGTGTTGTGATGGTTTAACATGATGGCCTTTAGCATGGCGGGGGCAGGGTTCATTTTAGAGCCTCTGGGAAAGGATACATTTCTGTGAATTTTGACTCCTAGAAAGGAAAGATGAAGGAGGCAGCCCAGAGGTACCAGTATGCCCTAAGGAAGTTTCCTCGAGAAGGACTTGGAGAAGACATGAGACCTTTCAATGAACTAAGAGTCTCCCTCTATCTCAATCTGTCTCGGTGCCGAAGGAAAACAAATGTAAGCTGGGAGTTGTTATCCCAAACCAGTTCCTTAGCAGTAGGTAAAGGCCTAGGCCGAATCTTGGGACCACCTGTCTAATTGGGGTGCTGTGGGAACCTGCTGCTCTCAGGGACCCCTCAGGTCACAGTCACTGCCCCTCCCAAAATGCTGACAGAATGCACTTCGATTTGATCTCTTCTGCTTCTGTGAGGAGCAGCAGATGGAAGCTGCTCCATTTCCCCTTCCCCACAGTGACACTGCCAGTGTTAACTGAGGGCTCCCCCGACTGCCAGATTCAAAGAGAAGTCCAAACGTCTGTTATAGTCTGCCTGACACGTGTTCCTTAGGTTTGCTCAGAGGGCCTGCTAGTAACTACTCAATTTATAACTAGTAGTGGTTAACTCATAATTCGTTATTAGTAGATGTTTTGTATTTCTTCTTGTTTTGAGCCCACCTGGTCTGACTCACCTGTTGTGGTGTCCTTACCACCTGCCTGGCTGCTTGAGTAGGTGATGCACACAACCACGCTCTGGGCTTGGACCCTCTCCTGCCACCTCTGCCCTCCATGCATTTACTTCTGCTGCTTTCCTGACTTGTAGTTGCTGTTTCTAAACTGGATTCATAATAGTCATAAGCTCTAGTTTCCAACTTTAAATAGGTCAAACAGTAAGATGGGCCATGCCCTTCACCCCGTTGACTCTTGTCTAGTCTAGTCATGTCTCAATATCCTGCTGCCCGTAGAGCAGAGCTCCTAGGAGAGAGCCACTTTGTCTCAGCGCTGCTCTCACACGTGTATTTAACTGTTGACATCAGGACTTTGGCATGGCAGAAGAATTTGCTTCGAAGGCTCTGGAATTGAAACCCAAGTCGTATGAAGCCTTTTATGCCAGGGCAAGAGCAAAGAGGAACAGCAGGTACTGTCTGGGGACACCCACATGACTACTGGGGCCTTTTTTCTGTGAGATCAAATCTGCAAGTTGAGTTGGAGGACGTTTCGCTTCACTGGGGTTATTACTGGGACACATCTCATCCCTTTTAATAAAAATTAGCTTCCAAAAGGCATGGCAGTGCATGTGACTATTAGTGGCTAACCTTTCCTTGATATTCCAGTAACCATCCCTTCCCACTGGGACACAGAACATCTGGCTAGTTGATATTTCAGTGAGACTGACAATGAAGGTTGATTCGCACAGAAGAGGACTGTGTCTGATCTCTGAGTTAGAAGGGTACACTCTGGGGAGGGCTGGAGGCAGTAACATGAACAGAATTCTGGCACCTCTCATTCCCAGCCTAGAGGTCTTTACAGATAGAGTGGGATCCAGAATCACAAAGACCTGGGATAGAGTGCAGCACCACTGCTCAGCCTAGCAACTGTGGACTAAACAGACGTGGCTACCTCATCCAGTGCTCCTACCTTATTTAGAGGTTTTCCTTTTCCTTTGAGGACAGCTGCATTCTAACAGTTCCATTCAGAGCATGCTCATATGTGACTTCTAATCAGATTTTATGTTTTCATATAAAGGCAATTTGTGGCAGCTCTGGCTGACTTGCAAGAGGCCATGAAACTCTGTCCCACCAATCAGGAAATCAAGAGGCTGCTAGCCCGTGTGGAAGAGGAATGCAAGCAACTTCAGAGGAACCAGCAGCAAAAACAGCAGGGCCTGCTGCCAGCTCCACCCAATGACTCAGATAATGAAGAGGATGCACCAACCTCTAGTTTAAACGACCACTTCCCCCTTGAGGCTGCAGAAGAGGAAGAAACCTCATCACAGGAAGAATCCATCTCCCCGACTCCCAGATCGCCACCACCATCATCTGTCCCTTCCCCATATATCCGAAACCTTCAAGAGGGGTTACAGTCCAAAGGCAGGCCAGTATCACCACAGAGCAGAGCAGGAATCAGCAAGTCCCTGAGGGAGACTGTGGCTCAGCCAGGGTTGGTTATGCAGCCTACCAAACAGGCACAGATTGTGAAGACCAACCAACATCTGGGTTCTGGACAGTCTAGCATGAGAAACAGTAGCACAAAAATGCAAGTCTCTTCTCAGAACCCTCCCCCGAGTCCCATGCCTGCCAGAATCCCTGCAGCCCCTGTTGGGAGCAGAAACCAGCATTTAGAGGGATCAGGTCCCTTCACTATAGGAGCTGGTTGTGGCCACTATGGGGATCGGCTAGGCCCCAGCCAGAATGTCCAGCTACACCGCAGTGAGAGTGGTACTGCATATCCTCTACCGAGCAAGGTCAAAGCTGCCGAGAGGCTCTTATCTCATGCCTCTGCGGCTGTGGACGTAGCCCCTCCAAGCCAGAGTGGACCAGTGAGCTGCAGTGATAAGCGACACCCAGCTTCCCTCGCCAGCTCAGGCTCTTCTGGTTCTCCATCTAGCAGCATAAAAATGTCAAGTTCAACCAGTAGTTTGACTTCAAGCAGTAGTTTTTCAGATGGTTTCAAGGCCCAAGGACCAGAGGCTCGAATTAAAGACAAAGGTACAAACCAAATGCAGAGTGGCACTGCTGAGCACAGGCCCCGCAATACCCCATTCATGGGCATCATGGACAAGACTGCCAGGTTCCAGCAGCAAAGTAATCCTCCAAGCCGCACCTGGCACTGCCAAGTGGCAGAAGGGCTACTTGCAAACACAGCCACTGCAGCTGGCCTGCAGTCCTCTAACTCTGAGAAGCCCTCTCTCAAGCCAGGAGGAGGATATTCCAACCAAGCCAAACCCTGTTCCATTCCCCCGCTGAGTGCAAGTGTCCACAATGGGGCACAGGTGAAGGAGCTAGAGGAAAATAAGTGCCAAATTCCAGTTCACTGTCAAGACAGCAGGGTAACTAAGAGTGTTCCTCATCTGTACCAGGAAAGCATCTCCAAGCAGCCGCCGCATGTCAGTAGCGAAACCCACAGAAGCCACCTCACTTCAGCGAAACCAAAGCGATCATTCATAGAGTCAAATGTGTGAGCCTTAATCAATGTGTTTGCAGAATTTGGCTCATGGTGGTAAATAACTGTCTTTTTTTTTTTTCCATCATAAAAAATACTTTTTAGCTATATTTTCTCCCACTGGGGTGGATCTAATACCACTGACATACTAAAAATGTAGGATAAAACTTCTTTAATAAATAGCTAGAAGTCACCCATAAATAAGAATGCTAAACAGAATTGAAAACTACAATTAGCTTATACCTATCAAGTTACAGACAGCCACAAAGACATTACCCAATGCTTTTCTCGTAGGAAATTATCTGGTTTTCTCCAAGCCTTTGCTATGTGGCACAATCCCAGCATTTACTTGGAGAAAAAAAAAAAAAATCCATCATTAAGCCACGTTTTAATTCATGACATGATATCCAGATGTATATTCTAGAAAAAGATGGAAGAATTTTTAAGTTACAGCTCCAGTCAGTCAAGTCCTGAGCAATTTCTAGCTGAATGTAATGTGACTAAACAGAGCTGTATTTTTTTTTTTTTAAGGGAAACATGAGTAAACCCAAGTATCATTCCCTTGAGGAAGTTACTTTAAGGGGATTAAACACTTATTTTCACGTGATGGTTCTTTTACAGAGTATTTTTATAGCACCTTTTTTGGAACTATATTCATGCTTCACGGTATTGTTATGTGGAAACAATATAAGCTATTTAGAATTTTGATTGGTGTCCAGATCAGATCGTACTAAGACAAGCATTCTTGGTGGTGTTTATAAATGAGCTCTAACTGGTTCCAAAAGTGCTCTCAACACTTGTTCCTGAAACAAGCCTTCCAAAGTCCTTTAAGGACAGTGTTTAAACTGGATACTTATTGTCAGGTTGGTGGTTTTGTTTGTTATGCAGTCATTACTTCATAGTCACATGTTGTATATATAAATAGCTAGCCCAGCTTTATTCAGACTTGTAAATATAACTCAAAAGTACTCTAAAGACAAACAGTAAGACCCCAGCCATCTACCCGCATGTTCTCTGTAAGCTTTGTCCATGCTGGTTATTGCACTGAGTGATAAGTTACCATGGCATGTTAACAGTATACCAGTAACGGCACTTTATCTCCTTTCTATGAACACCTCTGAGGTGCTACTTACGTCCAAGCTGATGTATTATTATTCATCTGTAAAGATAAGGTACAGGAATGAATCTTGGTTTAAGGTAATTTTATATGAAAATGGTGTTATTGGAGGATGTTAAAATGCTGGTTTGAGAGAAGTGGGGGTGTATTTTATATGTTGAGATGTGAAATTTATTTTCTAGAATTGGGAGAAGGAAGTTCTATATTTGCAGAATGTTTTAAAAATGAATAGTTATGAAGTTCCTATGAACATCAAGGTTTTGTATGATAAGAACCTTCTGGTGTCATTCTTCATTTGTTCCTGTATGTGCAGTGTGCTTTGTACAAAAAGCTATACCGTTTTTATAAGCTCTCCATGAGTTCTTCTATAATTACTATGGCTTATTTATTGTTTTCTTTAATATTTGTGGAAGTCTTACTCTTTTGTTAGGTAGTTTTGTTTCTGCACAACTACTGTACTTTTCCATATGGAATAAAACTATTACTATAATGGGTTGGTATTCATTGATTTGGTGGGTAAACACACAGTAAGACGCCCTTCAGCTGTCTGCCTTAATGTTACTCTAAACAGAGTACTACCAAATGCCTGTTTCACTTTTTAATTTCAGAGTAAGAGTGGAAGGTTCTAGAAATTCCATTCTAGGGTCATAATTAGTGATCTTGCCTTAAACAGGAAAAAAGCATAAGGAAAAGCAATCTGTACTAATTTCTGTCTGGCAACAGGATTATCTTTAATACTGTACCTTTGGCAACACACTGAGCTCTGTTATGACAGTTTATTCTTCAACACATTTGTATTATTTTTCAGTTACACATATGTGTTTAGGGCCTGGAGAAATAGCTCAGTGGTTAAGAGCACTTGTAAGATCCTAGCTTATAACCATTTGTAAATCCAGTTCCAGGGGATCTAACCCTCTTCTGGCCTCTGCGGGCACCAGGCACATAAGTGGTGTGCATAAACATACATACATACATACATACATACATGTAGGCAAACCACTCATAGGGAAAAAAAAGTGTATATTTGTCTTTATGCCTACATGCTTGTTTCAAAGCAGTTTAAAACTCTTGTGTGATAAAACTCTAACTTGGAATATTTTTTTTTTAATTTGTGTATTTTCAGTTATTTTTTCAAAATAATTTATATATGTATGAAATGACATCATCTGATCACACTCCATTTTCCCCTCCAACTCCCCTGTACCTCCCTCAACACATCCCCCCCTCCAAGCTTCATGTCATTTTTTGATAACCCATTAAGTCCAGTTAGTGTCTTGTGCATGGTTGTTGGGCATCCACTGAAGCACAGGAAGCCTACTAGAAGGAACACCCTCAAAAGAAATGGTTCTTCCTCCCCCTGCCACATCTACCACCTGCCAATAGCTCTCAGTAATGGAATCTTCAGCTTAATACTAATTTGGGTTATTGTTCAGGTCCTACTATTGCTAGAAGCCCAAGAAAAGTGTTTCCAGTCCTTAACATCATTTAAAGGTTAAAACAAAAGAAAATGAGCCAGGAGGGAAAAGTATTACTGGGTAATGCATAATGTTTGTCCTGATTATCCTGTACAACAGCCAGAGTGTGAGGACTGACAATAAGTTGTTATTTTGCTATCATCTTGGTAAAGACAGGACATGTTATTCAAGGAAGAAGTGACGTGTCCTTGGGAAGCTCTGGGTCAGCTCCCACATGCTCCTGAACCAACGCTGGGCCTAGTGCATTCAACAGATGGGCAGTGTCTTGACCCTTTCTGTGGATAGTCTTGTTTTTGCTGATTTATGTTAAAAAGTAGTTGTTTGGCATTGTTTATATAAAAAGTGTTTCAACTTGTTAAATTACTAGTTTTCAGGTATTTTACTTGAAACCAGAGAAGCAAAGTACATTCTTTAAACATCTAAAAAATAACCTTTAAATTGCCCTTTTGTCCTAGTTTGTTTCTTCATTGCTGTGACAAAATACTCTGACCAATACCAACTTGGGGAGGAAAGGGTTTATTCAGCTTACATCTCCCAGGTCACAGTTCATTAGGGAGCTCAAGGTAGGAACTCGGGGCAGGAACCTGGAAGCAGGAGCTCCTGGAGCACAGGCCATGGAGGAACTCTGCTTACTGGCTTGCTCCCCTGGCCCTTGTTCAGCCTGCTTTCTTATGCAACACAGGCCCACCTGCCCAGGGGTGGCACCACCCACAGTGGGCTGGGCCCTCCCACATCACTCATCAAGAAGATGCCCTTCAGACATGGCCACAGGCCAGTCCAATAGAGGAAATTCCCCAATTGAGGCTCCCTCCACCCAAGTGTGTCAAGTTGACACTAAAGCTATTCAGTACACCTTTCTAGCAAATCACTTTCATTGATAATGATTTTTATGTAAAAGACTAAGTCTACTATATCAATAAAAAACAAAGAGATACTTGGTTTAACAGTGTCTCTTTTAAAGTGAAAAAAAATCTGTCAGTAATAACATACTTTCTCTACAGATTACAATTTAAAATATAGAACACATTTCCACCTGTTCATAATAAAATATAAGAAGCATGTGTAGTACAAAAATATTACTTTTCCAGCACTCAGGAGGCAGAGGCAGGCGGAAAGCTGTGAGTTCAAGGCCAGCCTGGTCTATATAGTGAGTTTCAGGACAGCTGGGGTACAGGGAGACCCTGTCTCAAAAAGACATATATATATATATATATATAATGTATTTCTACAATAGAAGAGTCTATGATACAAAAGAAATAGAGTTCAATAATAAATTAACAATTTCACAAAGCAGCAATTATAAAGAAAGGACTTTTTTGGTAGCTAGACTTAGCAACATTCTGTAAACAAACATTAGCTCCATGTTTATGAAATATGAGAACGACTAAAAGGTGTATTTATCTTGCATCCTCCCCTCATTTATTTTTGAATTTTAATATTCTTGGACAATTCCAAAGCGTTTGGAGGCTGACTGTGAAGCACAAAGGATAAAGACAGATTTCTGCCTCAGGAAGCTTCCCACTGATGACTCCCACTCTGGTAAACAGCTTATACAGGATATCTGAAAGGTCAGTACAGACTTCCTTACTGAACTTGAAGTCTTCTGAGTAGACATGAGTTAGAGTGGTGGTGGTGGTGGTGTGTGAAGTATCAGGTTAATGCCTGGTATAGTTGCTCCACTAAGTGATAACTTTAAGAATTCTAAGTTTTGAAAGGAAGCTAGTTTACCACTCAATGTTTCAATAGTTAGTTTGACGATCACATCTCGCTTACACCAGAGGTTGAACAACAGAGAGAAAATTCCTTACTGCTATACAAATTTAGAACCCAACAAAATTGCTTATTCAATATGCCTAGAGTGACTTTTTTTCAATTTAATCATAAACAACTTATAATTATTTTGTGAAAGTTCTATTACAAAAGTTGTGAGCTATCAAATCAATGCCTATTGTCGAGGATGGAAACACCTGTGTAATCCAAAATGTTCCTGTCTGTATTTACTATGGACTATGACCTATGTCTCACAAGAATACATGTAGGCATTGCAGTTTAAAGTCCTATAAAGCTTTATTTCTATAAAATTTTCCCACTGGTGCAAAAATGCTTTGCTTTTATAGAAATAACAATTATGTTAGATATGTAATTAAGTACATGTTTTAAAGAATGATTTTTTAAAAAAGGGTCTCATTAGCCCCAGCTGGCCTGGAACTATGTTGTAAACCAGGCTGGCCTTGATCTCACAGAGATCACCTGCCTCTGTCGCCAAGAGTGCTGGGAGTAAAAGTGGGCGCCATTAAACCTTGCCTGATAATTGACAATTTTAAAGGTAACAAAATTTAACGTTTTTGTTTTCCTTCAGCTTTGCTTTTACAATGCCTGCTTAACATTTACCTTTGAATCATTCAAATGACATCACTGAAAAATGTATCTAATACAATATAAACAAGTTTATTTTTGATGTGTGTCTAACCATCGATTGATGGCCATTTTCAGAGTCCTGTTTGGTGTAAGTACCAGTGAAGGAAGAGCCAAGTTGGTCATGGGACTTGTACGTTTCTTTTTGCTGATCCAGCTTTCCATTGCTTCTTTTTCATAGGAATAGCCATCTGAAAAAAAGTACACATTATTTAAGATACAGGAAAGGGAAGTTAGAGTAATGAAATGAGTAGAGTGTAAAAACTCTATTGCTAGGTTGTCTATTGTGATTTAAGTGGTTTTCTTGCCAAGCCTATGCCACTTCCAAATTATCCTGGCTGCAGCAGCTAAATTCTACCACTACAGATGCATTAAGCTTAGATGGTGTTTTGTCAATCAGGATGGTGCTTTGTAAATCAGATCACCTAGAACAGCATCATTATATGCTCATAATACTGTACCTGGTCCTTTCCAACAAAAGACCTGAGACCAGAATCCTGTCAAAATTCAGATACAGTGGTGAAGAGGAGAGACCTAGATAGAGTAATAGTTATGATAAAATTGTATTAAAATAAGGGGGAAAGAGTCTTAGGCTCAGCAAGACCTGTTAGCATATTGAATTGCCCAAGAAACAGTTGGAGATTACAGAACTTGACCAAAGAGGGGTATGAAGAAAAAAAAAATTAATTCACTACTATTTTAATACCTTGCTAAAGTGTTTGTTTTTACACATGTGAAGACTACAGTCCCTGAGCCAGGCATGGTGACACAAACCTGTAACCCCAGCACTCAGGAGGGTGAAGCAGGACTCTTGAGTTTAAAGCCAGTCTGGGCTCCATGAAACCTTAGGGTTCCCCCTTCACAGCTTTCGTGCTGATGCTTGTACCACTCTCACAAGGGCTGAAGAGCTTGGTCCCCTTCCCTGCTTTAATCTACAATGCCCACAACTGTTTCCAAACAGTGTCTTGACGTTGCCTTCTTCCTGCCTCCCGAGGCTAGGGTTTCAGGGCTTGTAGCACCATGCCCAGTTCACCCATGAGTCCATTTGTCTAAGTATTTTTCACCTTTCCTGGCCAATAACATTCTGTTTTATAACTATGCATTTTATTTTATCCATTTATCTGTCGATAGATGTTCAGACTGGTTCCACTGCAGGGCTATTCTCAATGCTGCCACCTGTGCCCAGCCACTTCTCCTACGACTGTATCAACCCAGGAGCAGAACTACTGCTGTTTTCACTTTTTGAGAAACTTCCAGGCTTGTTTCAACAATAGCCACACTATTTTACATTCTCCCCAGCATAAGATTCCAATTTCTGCCCATCTTTGCCCACATTTATTTCCCAACTTTGTAATTCTAGCTGTCTTAGTGGGGCTATGTTTTCTGTGTGGTTTTGGCTTGTATCTCACTAATGACTATGATAGTGTGCATCTTTTTCAAGTGTATATTGCCCATCTGTAGAACTGTTTATTCAAACTTTTTTTTTTTAAGACAGGGTTTCACTCTGTAGCCCATGCTGGCCTCAAACGTAGAGTAATCTTCTGGGATACAGGTATGTGCCACCATGCCCAGCTCTTTTTTTTTTTTTTTTTTGTCTTTT